GGGGTTTTTAAATCTTGTCCTCCAGGATGCAACCCACAACAGGTGAACAGGGGCAGCAGGTGTAAGGAAACATGCCCAACATTTCCACCCATGCCGAGGATTGAACCATGGATGCTGTGTGTGTGCCGAGTGCATTGCCAACCAAGCCATGGGCTCTTAATCAAAATAATTGGAGTTGCCTTTCCCTTGACATAAATCATACCTGATTGCCTCCCCTTCCCAAGGTGCTGTTTGGCCCTTACAAGTTTAGTGTTTCCCCATAAATAAAATAATAATACTGCATTTGGGGCTGTAGATTTATGATCATCTTAATGTTGTAGTTTTTCATAAATGAGCAGTTTAAAATGAGCTGGAGGTGGATAGCTGAGTGAAAGTGAGTTTTCAAGGTGAAATTTAACTTCATTAACCTGCAAGTGTCTCAGGTAAAGACAAATGCTCACTCAATTTCATGGAGCATGTATGGCGGTAAATCTTTGGAAAACATATATAAAGACATGTTTAAATTGTGTATCTTATTAAGTTAAAACTCAGAATATAAGGTTGATGTGGATAGTAAGGCATTATTTGTAACCAATATACAGTACATGTTTCGTATCTGCTATAATGATGCAGGTAAAATTGCAAACCTAACCAAACCTAACCTGGACCCAAAGTAACCCAACCTTATCTAACCTTGAGTAACCTAAACTAATCTTCTCTAAAGACAAGCTCTGATTTATTTCAATTGAAGTCTGGCATCATAACCTAATTTGACCTAAAGTAATGTGAATTAAGCTGTAATATCATAATCTGACTTTAAAGTATAATGCACCTTAGATACAGAATATAGTAATAAAAAGCTTGACTGAACAGCTATTACATAGTACACCATAATGTAGGCTTAAGGCCTATACACAATGCTCCATCTGGAAACAAAAAAGATATCTGCTGTTTGGTCATTATGTACATTTTTCCTAGGACAGAAATCCAATCACATTTTATATTATAAATAACAAACATGTTATCTATTGATTGGGGAAAAAAGTTATTGCTGACATTGTTTATTTGGGTGATAAAAAAGCAAAATATAAACTTTATTTATTATGTGATTTTTTTGTAATTACATGGATTGTGCATTGTAGTTTGTTATATTTTAGATGAATAGAAAAAAATTTAACTTTGAAAATTCTGGTATTATAACCCAGCCTAACCAAACCTAACCTAACCACACCTAACCTAACCACACCTAGCCTAACCTAACCTAACCTAATTCAACTCAACCAAATCCAACCTAACCCAGACCAGCTGTAAAATTGTCAGCTACATTAGGTTGGGCAACATTAGGTTAGAATTTATTAAAAAAAGTTTTTTTCAATTCACCAGTTGTATTCCACTGAGGCAGGGTGGCCTCAAGAGAAGAACAAAAGTTGTTCTCTTTAAATTTAGTAATTTATACAGGAGAAGGGGTTACTAGCCCCTTGCTCCTGTCATTTTAGTTGCCTCTTATGACATGCATGGCTTGTGGAGGAAGAATTCTTTTCCACTTCCCAATGGGGAAAGTTCTTTTCTTGGAGGCACTGAATATATATAATATACTATATCCATTATACTGCACATTTATTACCAGAGAATTAACATAAAAATCATGCTTCTTTTAGTGACTGGTTGTTGTGATTCAAATTTGATAAATTTGTCAGGAATATTTTGATGAGTTTGAAATAGATAAGGATTAAGTAACATATAAGAAGTAGATTCTGGTTTAGCAGTGGCTTTTTCAACCAAGGCTGAAAATGTGGTATAAGAGAATGTTAAATTAAATTAAGTTCAGTTTAGATTCAGAGGAGCTGCAGGTAAAATTTACTTTGTAATTTTTCTGTAAATTATCATTTAAGGCTACAATAATTTGTAAGTGAAGTTTTTCATATTTGATTTGCATCACCATCCACAAGGATGATTTATTTATTTATTTATTTACTTAATAATTTGAACATACATACAGAGGTACAAAAAAATACAGGTAAGAGCAGCATGCCAAAGCCACTTGTATGCATAGCATTACGGGCAGGCTTAAAATTAACTTAAGATTAACTAAGCAATGATGTAATCAGTGAAAAAACATTATTGTAAACAGATAACAATAAAGCACAAATGAGTATTACAAAGACAGGTCATATGTTTGCATGCATTGCTGTACATTCAGTAGAATGGAGTATTCTGTTAGGTAGTGTATTTAAAAAATAACAAAGTTAGATTGGGTCTTAGGTTTAACATTAATGTGATATAATTGTGAGGAACATTTAAGATATACAATTTATAAGGTTCAGTTATTCAGTATTTATTTGGTTTTGGGTGAGTAAGTGATCTTTGAGAAGAGACTTGAATTGGTTGATTGGTCTAATAACAAAATTCTGCACCGGTGTCACTAATATTGTAGTGAGTTCGGTTGTTTAGCAGTACCTTATATCTGAATAGTAGCATGCTTGGCTTACAATGAGGACCTAGGGTTGTACCTTGGATGAGGTGGGATGTACGTATAGGTATGTCTCCTAGCACCTGCTTCCATTTATGTGTAAATAGGTACCTAGGCATTAGCTGACATTTGGTCTCATCCTGAGAGGACTTAAAAATAAAGACCAGTGAAAATAGGTAAGTCATACTGCTGGGCTTTCTTGGGTTTTCCTGGATTGTTAATCCTCTGGTGAATAAAGTCTTTACAATTTAATTTGAGGAACATAATCCTACTACATGGGCAGGGATAATCATGGGCTGGATTACAAGAAACTTTAAAACAATGAGGTACAGTTATAGTTTTCTTCATCTAGGAGTACAAGTTACAAAAATCTCAAGGCTAGTTTCTTTTGATATCATTATATACAAGATATTGTCAGTAATGCCCCATTTAGGTCATGTAACCTGGTTTTGGTCACTGTTATAAAGTGTACATAAATATGCAGGAGAATATATATAGAAGATGACAAAGTTACCCCTGCTTCAGACATCTTTCTGACAACGGTGCCCCATGGAGTGGTGGCTAAAGCTCTCGCTTCACACGGCAAGGGTCTGCGTTCTATTCCCAGCACGGGTAGAAACATTGGTGTGTTTCTTTACACCGGTCGTCTATGTTCACCCATTAGTAAAGTGGGTACCTGGGTATTGGTCGGCTGGTGTGGGTAGCATCCTGGGACAAAACTGACTTAATTTGCCCGAAATGCTATACATAACAAGGGACTTTCTATATAGTAGTATGTCATTGATGTCAGCTAGGCCTGTATACCATGTACATGTACTTGTAGTAAATAAAGATATTATTATTATTATATTATTATTAAAGATAGGTTACATATAATGAACCTGATCTGCAAAAAGATGTAGAGTTAAGGAATGCATGATTGAAGTGTACAAGTGAAAAATAGGAATAAATAAAGGGGATATAAATGAGGTGCTTGCAATATTTACTGAAGACAGAACTTGCAACAATGGATTCAGTTTGGATAAATTTAGGTTTAGAAAGGGTATAGGAAGGGACTGGTTTGGCTGTTGATTTGTGGATGAGTACAGTAGAAAAAAAAATTCCAAGTACAGTAGGACTCCCATATCCACAGGGGATATGTTCCAAGGATCTGCCGTGGATAGTAGCAAACCCCATATATATAAGTCATATACATACCTATTATAAAGTTAAATGGATAAATTATGCACAGTAAGTGGAGAATTATCACTCTTTCACTAATGGGAAGCATGTCATGGCTTCTCTTAGGCTTTAAAGAACAGCCAACTTCTCTGCTTTTGCACTTTGGGGCTGTTATAATGCAAAATTAAGAGATAATTTTGGGTCACAGTAAACTGTGGATAACTGAAACAGCAGATACTGAATCAGTGGATACAGGGGTCATACTGTAGTATCATTCAAGTGAACACTTAGAGCAGTTTCAAAATAGGTTAGACAAATTAACAAGTAGAGTGGGTAAATGAGAGAAGAGTCAGCTTAGCATATGCCATAAATTAATATATTAATAAATAACAGACAGTAATGATACTATTGAAGCCACTTGCACTGGAATAGTGCTGTTCACTAGCAATGTACAGTAATAATAATAATGTGATCCCTACATTTCACTGCATGCAGTGAACACTAATAGCCTGGCTGGCTAGGCCATTATCTGCAATACCTGGTCTGAGACCAGTGCACCTGGGCAGTGATTCCTAGAACCATCAATTAGTAAATTACAAATAGGAGATACAGCAGTTCTCTGCATATACAAATTTGCATTACTACAGTATTAATAAAGACTTATGTAGGTGCACAATAGAGAGAGAGATTAGAGCATTCAAACAGATTGTTTATGAATATTCTTTTGTGATCCAGTGCAGTACTCAGGGTGTACCATCAGTATTGCACAGTACCTGCATTAGTATTTATTTCTCAGAGTATTACGAGTTGTATTGCTTAAACATGTTGTATACTGTATACATAATTCAGATCTCTCTCCCTTGTCTCTCTACCCTTCTCTCCCCTCCCCTCCCCTCCCCTCCCCTCCTGCCTTCTCCCCTCCCCTCCATTTTCTCCCCCTTTCTTCCTTCTCTTCCCCCTTTTCTCCCCCTCTCCCCTTTTTTCCCCCCTTTTCCTCCTCCTCTTCCCTCCCCCACTTTCTCCTGCTCTTTCTTACCCTCTTTCTCCCCCTCTCCTCCTTAACACTCTCCCCTCCCTCTTCTTCATTCCTTCCCCCTGTCATCCAATCTCTCCTACCTTCCCCTCTCCAACCCTTCTTCCCACCTCTTTTTCTCTGTATATATGTACTGTATGCAAGTTTGTATACATATGTATGTACACTTAGTGGCCACGTAATTAGGTACACCCAAAGAACAGCCTGAATTCTTTTTGGCATGGATTCAACAAAATGCTGAAAACATTCCTTAGAGATTCTGGTCTATGTTGACTTATATCATCACACAGTTGTTGCAGATTTGTCAGATGCACATTCTTGCTACAAATCTTGCATTCCACTACATCCCAATCTGGTGACTGTGGAGGCCATTGGTGTACACTGAACTCATTATCATGTTCTTGGAGCCAGCTTGAGATGACATGTGCTTTGTGACAGAGCATTATCCTGCTGGAAGTAGCCAAATGAAGATGGGTAGACTGTGGCCATGAAGGGATGCACATTGTCAGCAACAACACTCATGTAAGCTGTGGCATGTAAACAATGCTTAATGTGTTCTAGGAAAACATTCTCCACACCATTACACCACCACCATCACCACCACCACCACCAGCCTGAGCCATTGACACAGGGCAGGATGCATCCATAGATTCATGTTGTTTATGCTAAATTCTGACCCTACTAGTAGTCTGCGTGTCACAGCAGAAATTGCGATTCATCAGACCTGACGACGTTTATACAATCTTCAGCTGTCCAATTTTGGTGAACCTGTTCCCACTGTAGCCTCAGTTTTCCTGTTCTTAGCTGACAGGAATAAAACCTGGTATAGGCTTCTGCTGCCATAGCTCATCCACTTCAAGGTTCAGAGTGTTGTGCATTCAGAGATGCTCTTCTGCATACTGTCGCCTTCCTGTCAGCTTGAGCCAGCCTGTCCATTCTTCTCAGACCACTCTCATTAACAAGGTGTTTTTATCCTCAGAACTGCCACTCACTGAATGTTTTGTGCTTTTCACACCATTCTTTGTAAGCTCTAGAGACTCTTGTGCATGAAAATCCCATGAGATCAGCAGCTTCTGAGATACTCAGATCACCCTGTTGGGCACCAGCAATCATTCTATATTCAAAATCACTTAGATCACATTACTTTCCCATTCTGATGTTTGATTTGAGCAACAACAACTGAACCTCTTGGCTGTGTCTACATGCTCTTAGGCATTGAGGTATTGCCATGTGATAGGCTGATTAAATATGTATTTGGATTAACGAGGTGCACCTAATAAGGCAGCTACTGAGTGTATGTGAAATTCATCCATGTACAGTTCAGTACTAAATGTAATGTTGAATGAAACATAAGATAATGTAAATGATATCTAAGAGAATTGGGCTGTGATAAATAGCAGCATTATGCTGTATAATGTTGTTTCCTTTGTATACAGGAGGGCCCTGCTTTACAACACTTCGCATTGCAACGGTTTTCAGTTATACCCATTCTTCATTTATTCAGACTTCCTACAATAAATACAGTGGAACCTCAAAAATCGAACTGCTCCCAACACAACCAATTATGTAAGTGTATTTTTGTAAGTGCTTTTATAAGTGTATTTTTGAGGGTCTGAAATGGACTAATCTGATTTACATTATTCCTGATGGGAATAAATTCATTCTGTAAAGGCACTCGAACAGCCTTCTGGACCGAAGAAAGTTCGATATTTGAGGTTCCACTATATAGTATTCACCACACCACTCACTATAAGCTAAGGACTCAGATATTTTAAGGTAAGTAATGTGTGTATGGTATTTGCATTTTTTAGACCTAGCTCTGTTGCTCACTTTATATATGATAGTGTAAACATGTTATCAGGTTTTTTAATGAATTTGAAAGTGAAAATAGGATATGTTTCACTTTATAGCAGTAGCCCAGAGCCTAACCTGCTGTATATGAGGGGCCCCTGCCTATATTCACTTAATATTTTTCAGGATGAGTGGAGAACGGGAAGACATCCTGCTTCAGGTGAACCACGTTCGCTACAAGAAAAACAATGGTCAGTTGTACCTGTCTCAAACAAGAGTAGGCTGGATGATGGATGAGTCAGACACGTTCACAGTCAGTGTCCCCTACAATGACATCAGAAGTGGGTATTGATCATGAGCTACAGCAATATTGGATGATAAATAATTCATACCGTGCTTGCAATGATTAAAACGGTGCTAAATTTTTGGTCATTAAAATTCTGTAAAAAAAAAAAAACTTGAGTACTTTTTGTTGAAATAAGAGATGTCTTTTTGTGAAAGTAAAAAATTGTGTAAGGAGAAATGGGTACCAAACTGGTATCTTTGCAATTACAATATCATATCATCTGTGTTTTTAAGCTTTGCTACACTGGTTGTTACATTTATTCTTCATGGCTCTTTTTGCAGCTCAAAAAATTTCACCTGAGGGCAAACCCAAAGTTCAGCTACAAATAGTTCTCCATGATATTTCCAACTTCACATTCCACTTCTGCACACCAGAGGGCAGAGATAAACAGATTGCTGAACGGAACCAGGTCAAAGTAAGATGTTCCTTGACACACAGCATATATATGACACACAGCATGTATATCTGTCCATGAGCACTTCTCTGTACCCTCATACTTTAATAACATTTCTGCACATGCAGTCACACACTGGCTTTAATTATAGATCAGAGGATGAATCTTGCCCTCTGTTTTGGAGTTCATAATAATATTGGTTCACCCTATATTGTTTACTTACAGTTGTGCATAACTCATTCATGTCATAGAGGAAGAAGAGCCTGTTATATATTTCTTTAGCCTTCTGTCTTAAAATATACATTAATGCATTTTCTTAAAATTTTGCAACCACAGTACAGTAGACAGTCCTTTGGGACTGGTGTGTCTGGGACTGCCCCAGGCATGTTAATTATGAGGTTGTAAGTACCGCTGTTGGCGGCAGTGATTGACAAATAGAACTGACATTATTGTCACTTTTTCTTAATTTTTTGCTATTTAGTTTATACTATACTTCAGTTTAGTGAAATGGTTTGTCAAAGTTACCCACTATATCGGTATAATGATTACTATTACAACACAAAAGGGCTTTTTTTATTCTGAGCAGGAGCGCCTTAGTCAGTTGATGACCCAAAACAGGAGGCAACCCCCAGATGAACTGATGGAAAAGAAGCGAATGTTAGACGAGAATGAGCAACTGCACCATCTGTACCGTGCACTGGTTCCCACATCAATAATATCTGTCGATGAATTTTGGAAGGAGATTGCTGGGCAATATAAACAAAACATGGGGCCACAACAAGAACTTGGTGTGTCTGGGGCTTTCCTGGTGAGCATCATGTTTCATCTTTCCTTTTCCTGAGAGGAAGTGGCATATGTGATCATGTTGATGCAGAGCAAGTGGAGACGAGTAGTCCATAGAACTTCATGTGTTGCTAATGTCAGTATGGTAATACAGTGGAAGAGTTCAGGAAAATTGGTTTGTCAGACTCTAGTTTTGGAAACAGGAAGTACAGTACGTACCTGCATTATGAAAGTGGTGGGGATTTGGCTCAGTGAGTCATCATTGTCCAGTTTTGCAATGTCCCCCCTCCTGCCCTCATTCAAAGTGCAGGAACTGTACATCTCGACTACCAGAGCTCAAAATCTAACTACTTGATATTCCTGAATTCTTTCATAGATATTATCTTGAAGTACTAAAATGTAGAATATGTTGGGGGATAAATAACAGTCACTATCAATAATAATAATAATAATAATAATATTTCTATTTCTACAAGTATATATACAAGGTATACAGGCCTAGCTGACATCAGTGACATACCACTGCACTACTATATAGAAAGCCGCTTGTTATGCAGAGCATTTCGGTCAGTCTTGTCCCAGTATGCAACCCACACCAGTCAACTAACACCCAGGTGCCCAATTTACTGATGGATGAACATAGAAAACTGGTGTAAGGAAAAACACTCAATGTTTCTACCCTTGCCTGGAATCAAACCCGGCCCCTCGCCATGTGAAGCAAGAGCTTTAGCCACCAGGCCACAGGGCCTGGTGGCTGACTGTTGGTGGTTGGTGATAAACATATGGCTAAAAAGTCACCCTGGCAATTAAAATTTTCTATTAAGAGTAGAATGATAAAACAGTACTGTATTTTTTAATATGGGCATTGTTGCACATTAAAGGCTTTCAAGACTTTGAGTCATTGATAAAATTAGACAAGATTGGTAAATAATTTTTCTTTTTGTAAGAAGTGAATGTCACAGTTTGTAGGGTCTTTTGAATTATGGTAAATGTCCACTTCTGGGAAGGGAGCTATTGAATAAATGATAGTAAATGCTTCCTGTTTTATGTTGCCTTCCCTTGATGTGAGACAGTGTTAAAAAATATACTGGTATATTGTATACTGAATACAGTGCAGGATGGATGAATGGGTGGATGGAATGAAATGAAATGTGTGTAGTTATAATGCGAGGAGGCCTGGAGAGCAAATGGACTTTACCTTTAAAATGAAAGAGGGATAATGCTGTAATTTTATACAATCAATGACAGTACACTGTTTTATGTTCAGATATTATGCCTAATAGATGCAGTTTAATATTTTGTTCATTCCCTAAATAATTTATTTTCTTTCAAGGCTGACATAAAGCCACAGACTGACGGTAACAATGGCAAAGTACAGTACAACCTGACTCCTGAAATCATGTCTGCTATATTCAAGACTTATCCTGCTGTGAAGAAAAAACATGCAGAATATGTTCCTCACAGAATGACTGAACCAGAGTTCTGGACACTGTTTTTTCAGTCCCACTATTATAGTGTTCACACAACCAGCAGCATGGAAAATGTATTTTCAGAGTGCTCAAAACATGATGACAAGGGTAAGATTTCTCCTTTTTTTTTTATTTATCAGAGCTCTTGATAAAACCTTAATTACCTGTGTTAAATTTAATTATTCATTAATTCCCTTCAAGGAATGTGCCTTGATACTGTTGAAGGGCACTCTCCTTCCTCAGATCAAGTCTGATTGCTTCTCATTTCCTCATGACTATAAAAATATTCATCAGTTATCTACTGTTTCTATTAAATGATTCTTTGCTTTTTTAAAAATAAAGGGTATATACATGTATATAGTTTCATTGGAAATCATCCACAAATTTGTAAACTGTGTATTTTTTTGTATTTTTTTTTTCAACAAGTCGGCCGTCTCCCACCGAGGCAGGGTGACCCAAAAAGAAAGAAAATCCCCAAAAAGAAAATACTTTCATCATCATTCAACACTTTCACCTCACTCACACATAATCACGGTTTTTGCAGAGGTGCTCAGAACACAACAGTTTAGAAGCATATACTTATAAAGATACACAACATATCCCTCCAAACTGCTAATATCCCAAAACCCCTCCTTTAGAGCGCAGGCATTGTACTTCCCATTTCCAGGACTCAAGCCCGGCTATATAAAAATAACGGTTTCCCTGAATCCCTTCACTAAATATTACCCTGCTCACACTCCAACAGATCGTAAGGTCCCAAATACCATTCGTCTCCCTTCACTCCTATCGAACACGCTCATGCACGCCTGCTGGAAGTCCAAGCCCCTCGCCCACAAAACCTCCCTTGCCCCCTTCCTTCCAACCTTTTTGAGGACAACCCCTACCCCGCCTTCCTTATCCTACAGATTTAAATGCTCTCCTTGTCATTCTACTTTGATCCATTCTCTCTAAATGACCAAACCACCTCAACAACCCCTCTGACTAATACTTTTATTAACTCCACACCTCCTAATTTCCACACTCCGAATTTTCTGCATAATATGTACACCACACATTGCCCTTAGACAGGACATCTCCACTGCCTCCAACCGCCTCCTCGCTGCTGCATTCACAACCCAAGCTTCACACCCATATAAGAGTGTTGGTACTACTATACTTTCATACATTCCCTTCTTTGACTCCATACATAACGTTTTTTGACTCCGCATATACCTCAACGCACCACTCACCTTTTTTCCCTCATCAATTCTATGATTAACCTCATCCTTCATAAATCCATCCGCTGACACGTCAACTCCCAAGTATCTGAAAACATTCACTTCTTCCATACTCCTCCCCAATTTGATATCCAATTTTTCTTTATCTAAATCATTTGATACCCTCATCACCTTACTCTTCTCTATGTTCACTTTCAACTTTCTACCTTTACACACACTCCCAAACTCATCCACTAACCTTTGCAATTTTTCTTTAGAATCTCCCATAAGCACAGTATCATCAGCAAAAAGTAACTGTGTTAATTCCCATTTTGTATTTGATTCCCCATAATTTAATCCCACCCCTCTTCCGAACACCCTAGCATTTACTTCTTTTACAACCCCATCAATAAATATATTAAACAACCATGGTGACATTACACATCCCTGTCTAAGACCTACTTTTACCGGGAAGTAGTCTCCCTCTCTTCTACACACCCTAACCTGAGCCTCACTATCCTCATAAAAGCTCTTTACAGCATTTAGTAACTAACCACCTATTCCATATACTTGCAACATCTGCCACATTGCTCCTCTATCCACTCTATCATATGCCTTTTCTAAATCCATAAATGCAATAAAAACTTCCCTATCTTTATCTAAATACTGTTCACATATATGCTTCAGTGTAAACACTTGATCTACACATCCCCTACCCACTCTGAAACCTCCTTGCTCATCCGCAATCCTACATTCTGTCTTACCTCTAATTCTTTCAATAATAACCCTACCGTACACTTTTCCTGGTATACTCAATAAACTTATTCCTCTATAATTTTTACAGTCTTTTTTGTCCCCCTTTCCTTTATATGAAGGGACTATACATGCTCTCCTCCAATCCCTAGGTACCTTCCCCTCTTTCATACATTTATTAAACAAAAGTACCAACCACTCCAACACTATATCCCCCCTGCTTTTAACATTTCTGTCATGATCCCATCAGTTCCAGCTGCTTTACCCCCTTTCATTCTACGTAATGCCTCACGTACCTCCACCACACTTACATTCTGCTCTTCTTCACTCCTAAAAGATGGTATACCTCCCTGGCCAGTGCATGAAATTACCACCTCCCTTTCTTCCTCAACATTTAAAAGTTCCTCAAAATATTCTCGCCATCTACCTAATACCTCCCTCTCCCCATCTACTAACTCCCCTACTCTGTTTTTAACTGACAAATCCATACGTTCCCTAGGCTTTCTTAACTTGTTTAACTCACTCCAAAATTTTTTCTTATTTTCATTAAAATTTCTTGACAGTGCCTCTCCCACTCTATCATCTGCTCTTCTTTTGCACTCATCACTCTCTTCACCTTTCTTATACTCTCCGTATACTCTGCTCTTCTTATAACACTTTTGCTTTGTAAAAGCCTCTCATAAGCTAACTTTTTCTCTTTTAGCACACCCTTTACTTCATCATTCCACCAATCACTCCTCTTTCCTCCTGCCCCCACCATCCTATAACCACAAACTTCTCCCCTCTTCAACCCCCCCACTACTCATCTTTGCACTAGCCCACCTTTCTGCCAATAGTCGCTTATATCTCACCTGAACTTCCTCCTCCCTTAGTTTATACTTTTACTTCCCTCCTACTTGTTGTTGCCACCTTCCTCTTGTCCCTTCTACCTCTTACTCTAACTGTAGTTATAACTAAATAATGATCCGATATATCGGTTGCCTCTCTATAAACATGTGCATCCTGGAGCCTACTCATTAACCTTTTATCCACCAATACATAATCTAACAAACTACTTTCATTACGTGCTACATCATACCTTGTATATTTATTTATCCTCTTTTTCATAAAATATGTATTACTTATTACTAAATCTCTTTCTACAACTAGCTCAATTAAAGGCTCTCCTTTTACATTTACCCCTGGCACCCCAAATTTACCTACTACTCCCTCAACAACATTTTTACCCACTTCAGCATTGAAATCCCCAACCACAAGTACTTTCACACTTGGTTCAAAACTCCCCACGCATTCACTCAACATTTCCCAAAATCTCTCTCTCTCCCCTACACTTCTCTCTTCTCCAGGTGCATATACACTTACTATAACCTACTTTTTACATCCAACCTTTATTTTACTCCACATAATCTTTGAATTAATACATTTATAGTCCCTCTTTTCCTGCCCTATCTTATCCTTCAACATTATTGCTACTCCTTCTTTAGCTCTAACTCTATTTGAAACCCCTGCCCTAATCCCATTTATTCCTCTCCACTGACTCTCCCACCCCCTTCAGCTTTGTTTCACTTAAAGCCAGGACATCCAGCTTCTTCTCATTCATAACATCCACAATCATCTCTTTCTTATCATTTGCACAATATCCACTCACATTCAGACTTCCCACTTTGACAATTTTCTTCTTCTTATTCTTTTTAGTAATCTTTATAGGAAAAGGGGTTACTAGCCCATTGTTCCAGGCATTTTAGTTTGCTTTTACAACACGCATGGCTTACGGAGGAAAGATTCTTATTCCACTTCCCCATGGATATAAAAGGAAAAGTAATAAGACCAAGAACTATTAAGATAAAATCAAAGAAAACTCAGATGAGTGTGTATAAATAAACGTGTACATGTATGTGTAGTGTGACCTAAGTGTAAGTAGAAGTAGCAAGACATACCTGTAATCTTGCATATTTATGAGAGACAAAAAACACCAGTAACCCTACCATCATGTAAAACAATTACAGGCTTTTGTTTCACATTCACTTGGCAGGATGGTAGTACCTCCCTGGGTGGTTGCTGTCTACCAGCCTACTACCTATAAAACTGTGTATATCTTTATTATATACTTTATTTATTCATTAATAGTCAGTGGTGTGAGCATTCTTTTAAGATATATTGTTGACGATGACAGGTTAACATAAGATTAAGTTTGAGATTGAATAACTGTGTCATTATACAAACCTTACATTTATAAAGTTGTGTCAAGAAAAAAGTGTTTGAGAAAGGAAGAAGTGCATAGTAGAAATCCCTAAACAGATATTTCTCAAGGGAGATTTCTTGATGCTGGTGAGGGGCCCTTGATCAAAGGAATTGAATTTGTCCTCTTCCTTGCTTCAAACCTGATTGCCTCCCATTTTCCAGGTGCTGTATGACCCCTGTGGGTTTGATGTTTCCTCCCGTATATAATAATAAAAATAAACACTCAAATTGCTGATCAGAAAATACTGCCAGAATATTACATTTTCTGTATTGTACTTCTTTCCATACACTGTACTGTACTGTATTTTCAGAGTGGAACCGTGATGTAAGCTCAACACAAAATGATCCTCTGTATGCCTTGAATGATATATATGAAGAAAAACCCATGTCTATTGAAAGTGATCTGAGAACATCTGGTGTCAAAGCTGGAAGTAACGTCTTTCATGCTTTAATGATCAAAAGGTAAGATATGCTTCACCTTTGTATTTTATTAAAATTTATGAATAAAATGATAATTTTGCATTAAAAGTACTAGTAAGTATTGAGTACATTTTTAGTTTATGTCATTTATTTAAAATATAACAGTAATATAAAAATAGACATTTAAAAACAATAATCTGATAGATTTATATAGAATAATAAAAATAAAAGCCTGTAATTGTTTTACATGATGGTAGGATTGCTGGTGTCCATTTTTCTGTCTCATGAACATGCAAGATTTCAGGTATGTCTTGCTACTTCTACTTACACTTAGGTCACACTACACATACATGTACAAACATATATATATACACACCCCTCTGGGTTTTCTTCTATTTTCTTTCTAGTTCTTGTTCTTGTTTATTTCCTCTTATCTCCTTGGGAAAGTGGAACAAAATTCTTCCTCCGTAAGCCATACGTGTTGTAAGAGGCGACTAAAATGCCAGGAGCAAGGGGCTAGTAACCCCTTCTCCTGTATATATTACTAAATGTAAAAGGAGAAACTTTTGTTTTTCCTTTTGGGCCACCCCGCCTCGGTGGGATACGGCTGGTGTGTTCAAAGAAAAGAATAATAATATGCTTAATTTACATGAAGTTCTTTGTATTTTAGTATTTGTTTTAAATGTTTTTAGTGTTGCACAGTTTTTTGCTTTCTTGTTCCCCATGTGTAAGCTCTGTGTTTTGCACCTCCCAGTGAATATACAATAATTTTGATATATTCTGTTTGGCCATTAAAAATTTTGGTTCTCTGTATTTGGATAGTCTATACAGAGTGTGTAATGTAAGTGAAACATCAAAGAGATAATATAAAAGAAGTATATTTTGGGTGATGTCTGTGGGTCATGTTGCAGCTCTTGAGGAAGTCTAACGTGCAGATTAATACTATAGTTTGGGGTTCTGAAGATGTATAGCAAACAATGTGCAATATGTGAATGGCTTGTATAGTAAGTTTAAAGTTCTGAATAAGGGTACAGTGGAACCTCAAATATCGAACTTTCTTCGGTCCAGAAGTCTGTTCGAGTGCCTTTACCAAATTAATTTATTCCCATCAGGAATAATGTAAATTAGATTAGTCCATTTCAGACCCTTAAAAATACACTTATAAAAGCACTTACAAAAATACACTTACATAATTGGTTGTGTTGGGAGCAGTTCGATTTTTGAGGTTCCACTGTAATATATAATGATGTGGGTCTGCTGGCTAACTTATGTGATGACTGATTTTAGAGAATTAGCACTGATATCATGTATAGAATACAGAGAGAAAGGCTTGCAGGTAGTATTGGGTAGCAAATATTTAAATGTATTCAGACAGTTTCTGATAATTGTTTATATTTTAAATGTGATGTATATAAGCAGTAAATTTATTTTATTGTTCAGGTGTAAACTTATGAATTTACCTGTATTTTTATTAAGTGTGTAATTTATCGTAATGTTTATTTAGCTGTTTTTTTACTGCCAAACAGTATGTAGTGGGTGTTTTTTTAGATTAACTAATTTTGTTGGCTATTATATAATTTTAGGTTTTAAGTTAAGGTATTAAGATCAGAATTTGAAAACAAAAGTAGTATCATAAACAAAGAGTATTGGTTTGAGTTTTTTGGTTGCATTTGGTAAGTCATATATTCCATAATGTTTTCTTAATTATTAATATATATTCACTGTCCCTTAGTACCTATCTTGACTGCAAATTTGAAAAAATGATGAATTATATTTTCAAAAGTGATAATAAAAATTTTTAAGGGATCCACTTTATGTGAGAATCGTAGTGCACTTTTCTCTCATGTCCATCTACTAATAGCCTAGTAACATATATTGACATATCTGTCTCCTGTTATATTCCAGATTCAACCAACACAGCCTCAACATTATTAAAGCTCAAACAAATTCAGAAAAGGAGAGAATATTGGATGAACTAGCTGCCAAAAACCCGAATGGAATTCCCAATGGTGAAGCAAAACAAGATATACAAGTACACAAAAGTAAAAAGGTGGGTGATAGTAGTGTATGAATTTTTTTTTTTTTAATGCGCTGGCCATCTCCCACTGAAGTAGAGTGACCTATAAAAAAAAAAAATTCACCATCATTCACTCTTATGACTGTCTTGCCAGAGGTGTGTAGATACTACAGTTTAGATGCCCCTCCAAACTGCAAATATCCTCATTCTTGCTTTAGAGTGTATGTATAGTCATTTATACACTTCTTGTGGTATAAACATTGGTAATAGATACGGACAAATTGGTTTAGAAAGACACATAAGCAAACACTAGGACAATTTATTAGAAAACATTTCGGTCCTGGTTAGAAGTGATCAAGGTCCCAGGACCGAAATATTTTCTAATAAATATGTCCTAGTGTTTACTTGCATGTTTTTCAAAATATACACTACTTGTATCACTTGTATTAAACTTTTGTGTGTGATTACTTATCTAGTTGTGTTACTTAACATGATTACATTTCATTGGATGCTTTATTTTACAGTGCTTGGTTTTATAGTTTAGCTTCTTTGTGGGTGATATATTTTTTCTTGGGCTAGTAACCCCTTTTCCTGTAAAGATTACTAAAAAGAATAAGAAGAAGAAAATTGTCAAAGTGGGAAGTCTGAATGTGCGTGGATGTTGTGCAAATGATAAGAAAGAGATGATTGTGGATGTTATGAATGAGAAGAAACTGGATGTCCTGGCTTTAAGTGAAACAAAGCTGAAGGGGGTGGGAGAGTTTCAATGGAGAGGAATAAATGGGATTAGGTCAGGGGTTTCAAATAGAGTTAGAGCTAAAGAAGGAGTAGCAATAATGTTGAAGGATAAGCTATGGCAGGAAAAGAGGGACTACAAATGTATAAATTCAAGGATTATGTGGAGTAAAATAAAGATTGGATGTGAAAAGTGGGTTACAGTAAGCGTGTATGCACCTGGAGAAGAGAGAAGTGTAGAGGAGAGAGAGAGATTCTGGGAAATGTTGAGTGAATGCGTGGGGAGTTTTGAATCAAGTGTGAGAGTAATGGTGGTTGGGGATTTCAATGCTAAAGTGGGTAAAAATGTTATAGAGGGAGTAGTAGGTAAATTTGGGATGCCAGGGGTAAATGTAAATGGAGAGCCTTTAATTGAGCTATGTGTAGAAAGAAATTTGGTAATAAGTAATACATATTTTATGAAAAAGAGGATAAATAAATATACAAGGTATGATGTAGCACGTAATGAAAGTAGTTTGTTAGATTATGTATTGGTGGATAAAAGGTTGATGGTAGGCTCCAGGATGTACATGTTTATAGAGGGGCAACTGATATACCGGATCATTATTTAGTTGTAGCTACAGTTAGAGTAAGAGGTAGATGGGAAAAGAGGAAGGTGGCAACAACAAGTAAGAGGGAGGTGAAAGTGTATAAACTAAGGGAGGAGGAAGTTCGGGTGAGATATAAGCGACTATTGGCAGAAAGGTGGGCTAGTGCAAAGATGAGTAGTGGGGGGGGGTTGAAGAGGGTTGGAATAGTTTTAAAAATGCAGTATTAGAATGTGGGGCAGAAGTTTGTGGTTATAGGAGGGTGGGGGCAGGAGGAAAGAGGAGTGATTGGTGGAATGATGAAGTAAAGGGTGTGATAAAAGAGAAAAAGGTAGCTTATGAGAGGTTTTTACAAAGAAGTGTTATAATAAGAGCAGAGTATATGGAGAGTAAAAGAAAGGTGAAGAGAGTGGTGAGAGAGTGCAAAAGGAGAGCAGATGAAAGAGTGGGAGAGGCACTGTCAAGAAATTTTAATGAAAATAAGAAAAAAATTTGGAGTGAGTTAAACAAGTTAAGAAAGCCTAGGGAAAGTATGGATTTGTCAGTTAAAAACAGAGTAGGGGAGTTAGTAGATGGGGAGAGGGAGGTATTAGGTAGATGGCGAGAATATTTTGAGGAACTTTTAAATGTTGAGGAAGAAAGGGAGGCGGTAATTTCATGCACTGGCCAGGGAGGTATACCATCTTTTAGGAGTGAAGAAGAGCAGAATGTAAGTGTGGTGGAGGTACGTGAGGCATTACGTAGAATGAAAGGGGGTAAAGCAGCTGGAACTGATGGGATCATGACAGAAATGTTAAAAGCAGGGGGGGATATAGTGTTGGAGTGGTTGGTACTTTTGTTTAATAAATGTATGAAAGAGGGGAAGGTACCTAGGGATTGGCGGAGAGCATGTATAGTCCCTTTATATAAAGGGAAAGGGGACAAAAGAGATTGTAAAAATTATAGAGGAATAAGTTTACTGAGTATACCAGGAAAAGTATACGGTAGGGTTATAATTGAAAGAATTAGAGGTAAGACAGAATGTAGGATTGCGGATGAGCAGGGAGGCTTCAGAGTGGGTAGGGGATGTGTAGATCAAATGTTTACATTGAAGCATATATGTGAACAGTATTTAGATAAAGGTAGGGAAGTTTTTATTGCATTTATGGATTTAGAAAAGGCATATGATAGAGTGGATAGAGGAGCAATGTGGCAGATGTTGCAAGTATATGGAATAGGTGGTTAGTTACTAAATGCTGTAAAGAGCTTTTATGAGGATAGTGAGGCTCAGGTTAGGGTGTGTAGAAGAGAGGGAGACTACTTCCCGGTAAAAGTAGGTCTTAGACAGGGATGTGTAATGTCACCGTGGTTGTTTAATATATTTATAGATGGGGTTGTAAAAGAAGTAAATGCTAGGGTGTTTGGGAGAGGGGTGGGATTAAATTATGGGGAATCAAATTCAAAATGGGAATTGACACAGTTACTTTTTGCTGATGATACTGTGCTTATGGGAGATTCTAAAGAAAAATTGCAAAGGTTAGTGGATGAGTTTGAGAATGTGTGTAAAGGTAGAAAGTTGAAAGTGAACATAGAAAAGAGTAAGGTGATGAGGGTATCAAATGATTTAGATAAAGAAAAATTGGATATCAAATTGGGGAGGAGGAGTATGGAAGAAGTGAATGTTCTCAGATACTTGGGAGTTGACGTGTCGGCAGATGGATTTATGAAGGATGAGGTTAATCATAGAATTGATGAGGGAAAAAAGGTGAGTGGTGCGTTGAGGTATATGTGGAGTCAAAAAACGTTATCTATGGAGGCAAAGAAGGGAATGTATGAAAGTATAGTAGTACCAACACTCTTATATGGATGTGAAGCTTGGGTGGTAAATGCAGCAGCGAGGAGACGGTTGGAGGCAGTGGAGATGTCCTGTCTAAGGGCAATGTGTGGTGTAAATATTATGCAGAAAATTCGGAGTGTGAAAATTAGGAGAAGGTGTGGAGTTAATAAAAGCATTAGTCAGAGGGCAGAAGAGGGGTTGTTGAGGTGGTTTGGTTATTTAGAGAGAATGGATCAAAGTAGAATGACATGGAAAGCATATAAATCTATAAGGGAAGGAAGGAGGGGTAGGGGTCGTCCTCGAAAGGGTTGGAAAGAGGGGGTAAAGGAGGTTTTGTGGGCTAGGGGCTTGGACTTCCATCAAGCGTACATGAGCGTGTTAGATAGGAGTGAATGGAGGCGAATGATACTTGGGACCTGACGATCTGTTGGAGTGTGAGCAGGGTAATATTTAGTGAAGGGATTCAGGGAAACCGGTTATGTTCATATAGTCGGACTTGAGTCCTGGAAATGGGAAGTACAATGCCTGCTCTTTAAAGGAGGGGTTTGGGATATTGGCAGTTTGGAGGGATATGTTGTGTATCTTTATACATATATGCTTCTAAGCTGTTGTATTCTGAGCACCTCTGCAAAAGCAGTGATAATGTGTGAGTGTGGTGAAAGTGTTGAATGATGATGAAAGTATTTTCTTTTTGGGGATTTTCTTTCTTTTTTGGGTCACCCTGCCTCGGTGGGAGACGGCCGACTTGTTGAAAAAAAAAAAAAATATTTTTTCATTGTATGGAGTGGAGAATCCAAGCTTCTACTTATTCCACAGATGCAGTATCAAATATATAGTCAGGGATTTATCAAAAATATTTTATAATACTTTGATGGAGGGTTGTGTAGTAATGACAGATTTAACTGAAGCATAATAATGTTGAATGTAGACCTTTTTTTGCCCTTATATTACCAGTATTTTTAACATTACAGGCTAGATTAGAGGAGAAAATAGTGTATGAGGATCTGGAGAACTCAAACAAAGTGGAGACCTCATCTTTAACTATCCACCAGAGAGATCGCTATCTAACAGGACCCACAGAATACAGTGCCATTCATAACTTACAACCACGTCAGGTTTGTTATTCAGTCAACATTATATATAAATGTATGCTTATACTCGGAGAGAAGCAAAAGTGAATAAACTATAGGAGACGGTGGAAGATAAAAGCAACTGTTGGAAGAAAGGTGTGCTAGAGAGTGGACAGGTAATCAAGAGGTTGAAGAGATATGAGGTAGATTTAAGAATGCTGTGCTAGAGTGTGCTACAGAAGTCTGTGGTTATAGGAAGGTAGGTGCTGGTATGAAGAGGAATTGATTAAAGTAGTGATTATGGAAATAGGATGGTAAGGGAGAAGAGGTTAGCGTATGACTGGATTTTATAATGTAAAAATGATGTATGGGAGGCAGAATATATAAAGAGAGGAAAAGACAAGTTAAATGAGTGGTGAAGAAGTGCAGGAGAGCCAGTGAGAAAGTTAGTGAATCTTTATCAGCAAATTTTGTTGAGCATGAAAAGCAGTTTTATAGAGAGATTAATAATTTAAGAAAGCCTGAGGTGCAAATGAACTTTTAAGTTAAAAATAATAAAGGGAGGTGTTAGATGGGGAGGTTGAGGTACCTGAAAGATGGAGAGGATTTTTTCAGGAGTTATTAAATGTTGATAATATAAAGGGGCCAACAGTTTCATGCATTGGGGCAGGAGGATTACCACTTTGTTGGAGTAAAGAAGAGCCAGAAAATGTTGGGAAAAATGAATGAGGCAGTGGGTAGAATGAAGGAGGTAAAGCAGTGGGGATAGATGGAATAAGACCAAGGTGCTAAAAGCAGGTGGCAATATAGTTTTGAAGTGATTGGTGTTGGTCAGTATGTGCATGAAAGAAGGGAGGGTACCTAAGGATTGGCAGAGAGCATTCATAGCCTCTTAGTATAAGGAAGAAGGGATAAGAGATGGTGTAAGAATTATAGGTAAAACAAAAGGGTATAATGGGTAAGACAAAGAATATTATGGAAGAGGAATAGTGAAGATTTAGGAGGGTAGGAGGGTATTTACATTGAAGCATAAATGTCAACAATACTTAGATAAGGGTAAGGAACTGTTTGTTGCACTTCTGGTCATAGAAAAAGCACTCGATGGAGTGGATAGGGAAGCAGTGTGGTGAAGGTTATCATGGATAGCTCCCTGGATAGTGGATGTGGTATATATTGCAAATGTATAGAATAGGTAATAGGTTACTAAAAGCAGTAAACAGTTTATATGTAAAGATTGAGGCTCAGGTTAGGGTATGTAGTATGGAAGAGGACTTTTCCAGTAAAAGTTTGCTCCAAACAGGAATGTAATGTCACCTTTGCTACAAAGTGGGAGTTGTAACATTTGCTCTTTGCAAATGCAGCAACTCCTTTAGGCAATTCTGAAGAAAAGTTTCAAAGGTTGGTGGAGGAATTTGGGAACATTGTGAAAGAAGGATGTTAAAAATGAACATAGAAAAGAGCAAGGTAACGAGAGTAACAAAAAAGTAAGTCTGGTCAATGCAAGGATGAATATCAGATTGGTAAGAGAGAGCATGGTGGAAGTGAATGTAGTTAGATATTTGGGAGGGGGCATGTTAGTGGATGGGTATGTATGAAGGATAAGAGGGACCATAGACTAATCTAGACTTAATTTATGTTTGTGGTCTCTTGTTGTCCCTGTTGAAATTACTAAAAAAACTTATGTATTCTTTCATGTGCATTGCTGTGTTGAGGAATATCTGACTTTTAAATATCTTAGTGTCAGTTTCTTTTTCTTACTAATGACCAATGCAGTGCTTAGGAATGTCTGCACACAAAGTACACTAGTGAATGATATTCACTATTGCTGTTAAGGGTTGTTGTAATTGTTTACATCCTAAGCAGGTTTTCTTGAACATATAGTTTTAAATACACAATTGCAGTGTGATTTTTTAGGCCTACTTATCTCTGAAAAAGCTCTTCTTCTCAGGTGACTGTCCTTCATGAGCAACTGACAGATAATATAAACTCTTGGTGTCCAAACTTACACATCAGCCAGGATCCAGAGGCTGCGTATCGGTCTCTTCAGCACTTCAGTGAAATGTGTCGTAAAGGAAGATCTAGTGTAGGGGTTAACACAGGTTCGTAGAGGTGTACTGGAGGGTTTCGGGGGTCTCCACCCCCGCGGCATGGTCTGTGACCAGGCCTCGTACTAAATGCATTATGCATGTGCTTTTAAAAGAACGAAGGTGACAGTAAATTGACACTTTTTGATTGTCAGCTTACTTTTTATCTATACTGCCACAATCTAGCATTTATTATGTGAGGCTGGAAGCTATATTGCTTTAGAAAGGCTAAGATAAATTTGAAGGAGAAAGTTTTTTTTTTTTTTTTCAGAAAACAAGTAATGAAAAAGTCACATTGAGAGGATCAGGTTCTAAATTTATCCAGAAACCACCAGTTATTGTTACAATACAAAACTGTTAATTGATGAATGGTAACAATTATTTTAGTTTCAGTAAGACTGGAAATGTGATGGTTAAGTATAGTGTAGGCACTGTACTTTCCACCTCCAGGACTCAAGTCTGGCTAACCAGTTTTCCTGAATGTTACTTACCTCACACTCCTTGTGAACTCATACAAAACTACTTGCCTCCATTCACTGTTTTCAAACATGCATACACATGCTTGCTGGATGTCCAAGCCCCTCACATACAAAACCTCCTTTACCCAATCCCTCCAACTTTTCCTAGGATGACCCCTTCCCTGCCTTCCCTCTACTACAGATTTATATGCCCTCCAAGTTATCCTATTTTGTTCCATCCTCTATGAATGTCCAAACCACCTCAACACCCCCTCCTCAGCCCTCTGGATATTACTTTTAGTAACCCCACACCTCCTCCTAATCCCCAAGCTACAAATCCTCTGCACCACACATATATACATTGCCCTCAGACATGACAGCTTTACTGCCTCCATCCTCATTGCTGCAACATTCACAACCCATGCTTCACACCTATATAAGAGCACTGGTACCACTATACTCACATATATTCCCCTTTTTGCCTCCAGGGATTGCATCCTTTGTCTCCACAGATGCCTCAATGCACCACTCACGTTTACCCCTCCCCCTCGTTAATTTTATGGTTCACCTCTTCTTTCATAAACCCATCTGCTCACAAGTTCACTCCCAACTATCTGAGCACAATCACTTCCTCCATTCCCCCTCCCTCCAATCTGATATCCAGTTTTTCATTACCTAAATTTTTTGTTACCCTCATCACCATGCTCTTTCCTATGTACACTTTCAATTTCCTTCCTTTACACACATTCCCAAATTCGTCCACCAACCCATGCAATTTCTCTTCAGAATCTCCCAAAAGCACTGTGTCATAGGCAAAGAGCAGCTGTGATGACTCCCACTTTGTAGTAGATACTTTATCTTCCAGTATTTTAAATAGAGCTGCTGGTTACAATATCACTGATTTCATTTTTGTAATTATGAATAACATTTATTATGATGCTTTTTTGGGGAGTTCCATCCTCCATTTTTTACTACTATCATCATGTTATTGGTGCAGAAACTTGTATTGTTAATACGTATTTGTGACAAATTTCAGGAGATCAGTTACCAGGAAATTTACATAAGGAACTGGGCCAGGTTTATAGCAGTGCTGGGGAACTTTTGCGACACTTCTGGTCATGTTTTCCTCCAAGAACTCCTCAGTTACAAGAGAAGCTTCACAAGATGCATGAGACACTCTGTCGATACCACAATGTTACTATAAGACCATTCCAAGTAAGTTCTCATAATGAAGCCTACCTCCGATTGATTTTTTATTCAAGTTGGTGTTAATTTCACACTGTTGAGTTTTTACCCTAGATTGTTAATTTCAGAGTTACTCTTGATTTTTTACCCTACATAGTATTAATTTCACAGTTACTGTTAGCACAGCAGTTAGATGATCAGGTGTAAGGTGAAACTCTATATACCTCAGTGCCACCATGAGACCATTCCAAATAAGTAGTCCCCAAGCACAGCATGACCTCTACAGTTTTACGACTACTCTATTAATATAACAATAATGAGAATCGCATTCAAATCGGCCCAAGGCTAATTTTTTCTTAGCACAAATGGTATCGATTTTATGGTTGCTGTTAGCACTGGTGTCTCAATGTTACCATGAGACTTTTCCAGATAAGTGCTATAGATTTAAGCTGAATGAGATGCTGTCAGTTTCCCAAGTTGTTTAGAGGTAGGTGATCTGTAAGATGTGAGAGAGACTGCCATAGTATTATCACAGAACTCTTCTGGCTAAATGTTGCATTTTGAGGATTCACAAAATGTTTTCTCCATTTTTAAGTTTACACAAAGAATTTTAAAGTCAGTTCCCAAGTTCATAATTTTTTTTTTTATTAGCACACTGGCTGATTCACACCAAGGCAGGGTGGCCCGAAAAAGAATAACTTTCACCATCATTCACTCCATCACTGTCTTGCCAGAAGGGTGCTTTACACTACAGTTTTTACACTGCAATATTAACACCCCTCCTTCAGAGTGCAGGCACTGTACTTCCCATCTCCAGGACTCAAGTCCGGCCTGCTGGTTTCCCTGAATCTCTTCACAAATGCTACTTTGCTCACACTCCAACAGCACTTCAAGTATTAAAAACCATATGTCTCCATTCACTCCTGTCAAACACGCTCACGCATGCCCGCTGGAAGTCCAAGCCCCCTCGCACACAAAACCTCCTTTACCCCCTCCCTCCAACCTTTCCTAGGCCGACCCCTACCCCGCCTTCCTTCCACTACAGACTGATACACTCTTGAAGTCATTCTGTTTTGCTCCATTCTCTCTACATGTCCAAACCACCTGAACAACCCTTCCTCAGCCCTCTGGACAACAGTTTTGGCAATCCCGCACCTCCTCCTAACTTCCAAACTACGAATTCTCTGCATTATATTCACACCACACATTGCCCTCAGACATGACGTCTCCGCTGCCTCCAGCCTTCTCCTTGATGCAACATTCATCACCCATGCTTCACACCCATATAAGAGCGTTGGTAAAACTATACTCTCCTACATTCCCCTCTTTGCCTCCAAGGACAAAGTTCTTTGTCTCCACAGACTCCTAAGTGCACTGCTCACCCTTTTCCCCTCATCAATTCTATGATTCACCTCATCTTTCATAGACCCATCCGCTGACACGTCCACTCCCAAATATATGAATACATTCACCTCCTCCATACTCTCTCCCTCCAATTTGATATCCAATCTTTCATCACCTAATCTTTTTATCCTCATGACCTTACTCTTTCCTGTATTACTTTTAATTTTCTTCTTTTACATCCCCTACCAAATTCATCCACCAACCTCTGCAACTTCTCTTCAGAAGTTGCAGAGGTTGGTTCATAATATATATATAAAATAACTTTCTAGCTGTAGTATTAATTATGCATTTTTTAAAGGTGATGAATGGCTCAAGGTTAACATTCAACAAAAAAGGTGCTGTTCATTCAAGTACCTGAAATTTCTGTTCATTTAAAAAATATTTGAATTAAATTTTCTTTTTATTTCAGGAAATGGCCGTAAATGATTATAACTGCAAAAGTGACATTTTAGACCACCTTACAGAAATGTTTCAGATCGCCAGTACCAAGTTTGAAAACTGGAAGGCGCGAAACAGCAGGTGAACATTCTAACTGTATATAGGGTATTGAGTAGAACTTTATATGTAGATATAATGGTTTTATACAGTCATGAGCAAAAGCACTGACCTCTACCTCACCAAACAACTAGTGGTGTTTTAATGAGTCAAAACCTGAACAAAAGTACTAGTTAATGTTTTAGATTACTGTATATTCAAAAACTTCAAAGGTATGGAACAAGAATTAAGCAGCAATCTTATCCCAGTGAGAATTTCAGTAGTTGGAGCCTGATTGTTGTACACCATCAGAGAGTATTAAGATTCAGTATTGAGTAGCTTGGTGGCAGTGACCTCAGGTTATGCATGGGACATACTGTGACTGCTCTTAATGCTCAGAACATATTCCCATTGTGTCCATCGAGGATCAGAAATATCCAGAAGTCGTATGCTTTCTCTGTGTTCTTTTTCTTTTTTAAGTTTTATATAGTGTAACAGTGTTGGAAGAGGGAAAAAGAATAAAATACTCTAAAGCAATATGCATTCAGGAAAGAGACATGTTGTCTTTTTCACATATTTATAAAACTGTATTTTGGGAAATTTGTGCTAATGATGTACATCTGTAAGTAAGATTTTGCACTAATGGTTCTTGGCATATTTCCCAGTTATACTGATATTTTCCTGGAGATTCAACCAACTGTTGTCTTTGTCATTTTGAAAGAAATGGCTGACATAAATCAGTAAGCCCTGACTTTGTGCCCAGATTAAGGTCTTTAGTCAAAATATTTTTACTACTGTAATTTAAGTTGAAAAATTGAATCCACTAGAATTATGTAATATACAGATTTTTGTTAATGTAGCATTAACACAGCTGCAATGGTTACTATATTACAGTGTATAAATTTGGAATTTTGTTTGCTTGTGTAATGGATTCAGCACAGATTTAACATCCTTGTCCTTGTAACTTCATATATTTAAAAAATTATTGTGTTTTATGAATATTGATTATGTGCTCTCTCTCTGGAATCCATTTTATAATACTGTGATTATAAAGCTAGTAGTTGTTGAAATTAGCTTGGACTAGAAAGGGATAACTGTACTGAACAAGCTTGTTTTGGAGACTCAGATGTTGAGCATATTCATCATCAGGAAGAGTTTAAGTACACTCCCTCTCCCCATTGTGATGCCCAGGGTATTGATATTAAACACGCACAGGCATTTAAATTTCATAAATATTACGTAAGCTGCTCATATAATGAGTGTCAAAATGGCTTTACTAGATTTTAATCTTTATTTTCACTAAAAACTTTACTGATGAGCTCAATAACAAAATTTTTTAATCTGTAATTATTAATTATACTCCCCATGAGAATTTTCAAAACAGCTTTGTTTTTTTGTGGTCAGTCTGTACTAATTAAACCGCTTGAAAGAAGAGGTTTTTGTTTGGAATTATTACGGGCTTAAAATTTAGACGAAAGAGTATTATGATAAATAGAAATAAGTCATTTGCTGGACATAATTTTAATAGGATGTAAATGTGTGCAGAAACCAGCAAAGTCTCAGTATTAAAATAAAGTATTAATGTTAGCAGTCAGAAAGATATGCAACATTTGAATTTCATAGGGAATTAATTAAAGGTATATTATCAAAAGAAATGAATGCCAATCTCCTGTACATAACATTTCTCAGCTGACACATATACACACACCCCAGTCCTACCCACCTACCTCTAGATCAGTAGTTTCCAAGCATTTCTTTCCATGATTCAAAACTTGAAATTATTTTAATGTAATCTAAATGTTAATGGGACCTACAGAACACCCCAACAAATTGCAGTAAATTTATAGCATAATAGTTAAGAAATTTTTTGAAAAACGTTATGGATGGTCACTCAATCCAGGGGCCCATCAGGATTCCCTCCTGACCCTGAGTTTGGGAAGCCCTGCACTAGCTGAACAAAGACTGGTGTGAGGTGGCAAGAAACAATGTGACATCCCACAGTAGTCTTCCCTTGACCCTCTACACCCATCTACATCCTTCAACAATAACATTGTTCTTTTTGAGTCAGTTTGCCTTGTTTTGTTAATATACAGTTTTTAAAGTTAAAAATCATAAAATATTTTTATATTAAAAATATACCTGTATATACAGTTTGTATGAAAAAATGCTTATAAATTAATAAATTAATGAAGTTGTTGTCCATGTCTTTGCTTTGCTCTTATTTATGAAAATAGTTATACAGTCCCAGACTGCTAGCAATAAGTGCACATGACTAAGTTTTTGTTGTGTATCATTTTTATTTTGCATTAAGCTTTGCATTTTCCTTATTTGAAACCTTCATTTTGTCTAATATGGAAATAAGTGTTAATAACACGCGTTGATGCATGTCTCAGATTCATTTCCAGAGGTATTTTGCAAACAGTCCTTATTGCTTATTCATTTTAACTGCTTGTTTTAATGCTAATCTGTTTGCATTAAGATGTTTATACTGTAATATGAATGATGAATTATGAAAGCATGTTCATTTTTATGTACCCAGTTCATATGACAACATCAAAGCTTTGGCATTCTAGTGCAAGAATCCCTCACTATGCAACACGTGGATTCTTGGCTGATGGGACATAAGATGAAATCACATAGAGTGAGCCCAGTATAACACACAAACAATAGGAATATGTTCCGAGAGACTGAATTCCACATTTCTTGATTAATATTTACCAAAAAACATACAAATTTTTCACATTCACCAAACGGTCACAGACAAAAAGAAATGAATTGAACAAAAAACTCAGAAAAGAAATATCCAAAATTGAATCATAATTTTTATACATTATAAAATGGGAAAAAATTCCACATTTCTTGACATTTTTACTACCAGAAAATTGTGAGTGTACTGTATCAAATTTAGGCACCAAATTGCCAGATTCCAGAGGTGAGGTAAATATAATTGATCTAAAAATATTAAGAAAAACTAAATACATGTACAAAATTCAATTATAATACTTCTCCCTTTTTTCCTCTACTTTCCCTTTTTTTCCTCTGCTTTCAGAAAAAGGTCATTATAACCAATTTAGAGTGATGTTTAAGGTTAAAGCATAGCAGTACTAAGTGATATGAGAGCAAATTAATGCAAAAAATGGATTGACTGCATATATCCCTGAGGATCATTTTGGGATAAGTTTTTTAAAGCATCAAATAGACAGATCTCCATCAGCTTTTTTTCATGAATGGCCTTATTGGCTAGTTTCTCTCATGCCAAGTGGGGGTCACACTACTTATGTACATTTGGTATGCATGGTACTACATATTCTCTGTTCCCCTAACTCAGAGACTGAGCCTAGCCCCCACAGCTGTGGCTTTTTGGTAGTCAAGAACATCTTAGGTGAGAGGATAGAGTAAAACAAGGAGTTCACTGGTGGCTCTGCAAATTTGTTTGCTAGTCAGTTTAGGCTAGGGTCAAGCAGGGCTTAGCAGGAATACACCCTTTTGGTCATGGGGCTGCTGCTTGTGTATATCTTCCCATTACACTTGCGACAGTTAGTACACTAGGAGTCTCCTTGTTGGGCTCTGTGCTTATTCTAGGATAATGTCCTCTCTGAAAGTACTATCTGGCATTTTATCAGAGGCTGAGCTGTTGCATTGGCACTGACATTGCTTAATAGTTTGAATTGTCTGTCACACTTACGAAAAGAAAACTTAAGAAATGAGTGATGGTGAATGCTTCTCTTTGGGTCACACTTCATTTCTGGAAACTGGTACTTGTTTAAAAAACTGCTGCATTTTGTTCTCTTGTGTTCCCTTCTGCTGTGTACTACTGGTTTACCTTCAAAGGGTTCATCAATTGTTTTGTGCAAATATTATTATTATTGCTGTTGGAGTGTGAGCAAAGTAACATTTATGAAGGGGTTCAGGGAAACCGGCAGGCCGTACTTGAGTCCTGGAGATGGGAAGTACAGTGCCTGCACTCTGAAGGAGGGGTGTAAATGTTGCAGTTTAAAAACTGTAGTGTAAAGCACCCTTCTGGCAAGACAGTGATGGAGTGAATGATGGTGAAAGTTTTTTTTTTTTCCGGCCACCCTGCCTTGGTGGGAATCGGCCAGTGTGATAATAATAAAAAATAATAATAATTATTTACATTACTTAACAAACACCTTAATAATGCTGACTCACGAAATCGTAATGACACGATTGCAAACAAACCATACCCCGGCCGGGATTGAACCCGCGGTCATAGAGTGGTCACAGTGGTGCCTGTGCTAACCTTCCTGTGGTGTAGAAATATACCTAGTTGGACGAATCTTATTGTGGCTAGCTGGTCTAGTGGCTAACGCGACAGGCTGGAGTTTTGAGACTATGACCGCGGGTTCAATCCCGGCCGGGGTATGGTTTACCTTAATAATGCTCTTCTTAAATTACATCAAAGTTGGTAAATAAATGCCATGGTACAATACAATGTGATATATTTATTATAATTAGAATTCTATATAATACAGTATAGAAATTTGGTATATAAATGCCTTGGGTAACCAATAAATTTCTGTACAATACTGATTTAGGATTCCTTATAAATACTGTGCAGTAATTCATAAAAGTGTTCTAGGGTTGAGCCATTAATATGCAGAAAGTATTTGAGATATAGTTATTGGACATGTGCTATTGATTTTAGATTTAAAATTCTTAAAATGAACTCATTTTTATACCTAAACTTCACAAAGTAGACTATTGTCATTTGGTGAGATGTTAATGCCATACATGCCAACAAAAATGCTAAAGTGTAAGGGGCTGTCTTTCCCCCTTAATTGAACTTAAACGAACAAGGAACATGAGGGAATGATCTTTCTAGTTAAAAGTTAAACCTTGTCAATAATTTTTAAAACTTTTCATATGAAAGTGGATATTTTCAAAGTTTTTATGATATACTACTGTGCTAAAAATACAGTAATACTGAATTTGAAAAGAATTACTGGTTTTACAAGAATCTTAGCACTTAGCTTTGATTATAATAATAATTTATAAGAATCTCTCCAAGCAATTTATGAATGTCA